AGATCAAATCCGTGGGTAGCAGAGGACGCAGGTCCAGACCCTTGAGGGCTTTGCAAGTCTGATGTTAACAAAAGAATTCAAGTGGAATCAGAAGAAGCAAACTGTCAGTTTTGATTCGAGATGGTCAAGAGATAAAAGAGAGACTCACCAGAAGTGTTTTTGATTTCAGGTTGCAATCAACAGCGGAACTCAAGAGGACCGCCTGGTCCATGAGGATCCACATGGATTGTCTCGGAATCAAGGTATTGGCGTTGTCCGTTGAGTCGAACGAGTTCCCAGTGGTGACCAGGTCTAGAAAGGAAAGATTCGAACAGTTTCAATGATCAAATTACAAAAATTTTGATAGAAAAAAGACAGGCTTACTTGTTCATATAATAAGGGCTGCCACCGCGGCCACGAGGAGGACTAAGGCCTTCCATTGGAGCCTGTCTTGCTCGTTTAATTGCACTATGAATAATTTGAAATTGAAAAGGCGATGAGATTGATTGAAGAATTGGAGATTGAATAATTTGAATTTGCAAAGTCGATGAGATTGAAGTTGAGATTAAATAGAGAAATTGAATATTGGTTGAGATCAAAAAGGAGAGGAAGGAAGAAAGGAAGAAAGGAAGAAGATCGAATATCAGTTGAGATCGAAAAGGAACTCATATCGAGAAAGGAAACGAGACCAAAACTTACACATCTTGTATTGCCTTGGCCTGCTCGTCGAGTTCCTTTTGACGTTTTGAGGGTCCTCTTGGCATATCGGTGAAGGTTTGCTGGTGGTATCGAGGGTATAGAGGTGGGGTTGAGGGTGAGTGGTCAACAGCTATTGACCATCAAAACCGGTCAATAGCCAATTTCATATTTTGATTTAAGCATTATGCTTATATTTCAAGCTGTATTGGCAGCTGTATCACCCAAATAAAATAAAATAAAAAATCACCGGGCCAACGTATTCTAGATTGACTGTAATTAATTCCTATCTTACATATTTATAAATATACTTTTGTCTCCGGGCTCTCAGCCTTATGCTACCCTACCTTAGGTTATCCTAAGGTGAGAGTACTGTGGGGGGGGGTGCCCTGAGCCCGAATGGGGTCCGGGGTATCAACGGGGTGCCCTTTCTAGGGCCCTGCGTATTCTGATGCCCCGGTCCCATCTGGGCTCTGAGCTGTGTAAAGTGCCTGAAGGGCACCGGAGGACTCGGTCCTAGCCAACCCGGCCTTGGGGTATCGGAGAGCCCCCGAGCTCGCTAGGACCCAATCTCTCTGGTAGCCCATGCTGTGCAGGTATAACCGGCTTCTTTCGGCTGCAGATCTTTTCCCCCCCTTCCTCTTACTGTACACTGATTTTCTTCTGTTGTACAGAGGACAAGGTTTGGTATACAATTTACCTAGTTCAAAACTCTAAGATGTTACTCAACAAGGTGTCTATTTCCTTCTCTCTGAGGGCACATTGGAGACTTTGTCTTGGTTTGCAACTCTTTCTCTCTTTTTTTATGTTTCATTTCAACTCTACTTTCCTCAGCCACTCTTGACTCTCTTCTATCTCATCCTGATCATATTCTCTAAGATACCTCTCATACGCCTTTGACTTCCATCTGCCTTTTGATGTGATAGTTTAGAGGGGGACCTTCTCGTTTCATAGGAATGACGCACCACCAACTCTAAATGAGTGGCCCGTCAAACCGTCGAACCCGTCTTTGGCCCAGAGTTTCCTTAGTCAAGTCATGACTCCCCCCTTCATCAGCAAGGTTCCCAGGGTTCCTTCGTTGTTAAAGCTGAAGAGCGGGTCTTCATGGGTCATGCCATTGGCCAAGTGTTTATTGAGTAGTCTTTCGACTGCACCGGCTGCATCTAGGAGTGATTTGTGGCGATTCAGGTAAAGGTATTGAATTTCTCCCGGTTTCAACGTTTTAGCTTCTCTCAACCCAATCCTCATCAAGTCTCTTCCATCCGTCCATTCAACATCACCTAATCTTATCACTTTCGTCGTTCTTAATGGTTCCAATTCCCCCAACCGCGCCATTCCCCAAAAGGCCACCAAGGCTATGGTTACTGCCAGTTCGTCCACATCATCTTCTTTCTTCATATGTCTCAGGAGGCTAACTAGATGTTTGATTTGCACAGGGTTCTTCTAAGGTCTCTGGTCTTGGCGTGAGTCGAGGAGTTTTAGAGCTTTGATACATAGATTTATTTCTTTCTGTTCGATATTCGGAAACCTCAGGTGACCTCCCCACGAACTTATTGACTTCTTTCTTCTTCCATTGTGCTCCCCCTAGTAAGTCTTTCACATTTTGAATCCGTTGTTTGATCTTCTCTTCAGGGAGCCTGACAGTCTTGGTTCTTCCGTTCCATATGAAACCTAGATACTTTTGTTCATTGGCAAAATCTGAGTACTTCGTATGATTAGTCTTTACCCCCATGCTGGCACTCAACGTAAGCACATCTGCCATCTTCAAATTTCCACCCCTCTTCCGTATAATAAGGTTGTCGTCAACCCAACGGAAATTTTTTGGGATGTTGAGGGTTAACGTCATTATTTCTTTCCAGATGTCTGCCGCTCTACCGAAAGTTCCGCAACCTGCCACCCCTCCAAAACCTACTCTGGTATCGACCCACAATCGGTTCTGGAAGTCTAAGATAAGTAAGTATTTCCACTGTGACGGGTGTGTCGGTATTTGCCGATACGCCTTTTCCCAATCAAAGATGGCTAATTCCCACTCATTATCGCTATTTTTCAGGAACACCGCTACGACCGCGAAGTCATCCTATGTCGTCTCAAAGTCATCTTTGTCCACAAACGAATTCACCGAGGGAATATTGAGGTCGTGCTTGGGAAAGGATAAATTGCTAATCATCCAAAACGACGCATCGTTATTTATAACGCTTCCCATCGGATTAGAGCGGAAGAAACCATATTGATTGTACACTTCTTGGTGCGTAAATGGGCCATAGAGTTTGCCCTCTGCTTTTTCTTTATGAATCATCTTCTTGATTTTATCCCTGACTCTCTCTGCTGATTCTTGATTCGGTGGTGTATACCAGGTCAAGCCGGGAATGGCATGGTCTGGTATCCCTTGATCGAACCCGGTCTTAAAACTCTCCAGGACGTCTCCGTAATCTTTAAGCAAGTCAAACTCTTTCATAAGTTCCTCTCATTCAGGGATGTTTAATTCACATTTCACTCCCGACGGAAACCAAGTGTCTCTTTGAACTGTGATCGTTGGTATTTGGAAATCAACTCCTGGGCGAAGTTCACATGTATTCTTGAGACTTGATTACAAAATGGGTACGGTGAGGCAGTAAAACAGTTTTATGGTTTTGCGGGGGGGATTACAAACATGATCACACTGTCAGTATCATACAAGTTAAGAGCAAACCCAGTTCGCCCAAAACTGGATAAAATTTGGGCAAAACCTGGTTTATACCCTTTTTTTCACCCTTACCTACCCCCCTAGCCGTACCTGTAAGTGAATCCTATCTCTCAATAAACTACCTTACTTCATCCAAATGAATTTAAACAAATGCCAATGAAATCAAACCATTCTCCATTATCATTTCTGGTTTTTGAAAAGTAAGTAATGAATCTGATTTTATAGCATTTTGAATGTGAATCATTGAGTCGACTTCTGACTTTTCTAATTTTCCTTGGTTGTATAGGAAATATGTTTTAGCAGATCCGATTTCATTTGAAGAAGATCATTTGGAAGGATCCATCTCTATACTAATGGATTCAAACCATGAATTCATTTTACTTGATCCAAATGAATTCAAACCGATATCAACAATCTATCCATCATCATCGTGAACTTGTGAAAAGGGGGTAAGAAATCCGATTTTAAATCTAATTTGCAATGTGAATCATTGAGTTGATTTCTAATTTTCTTGATATTTTTTTGGCTATAGAGGAAACAAGACCAACAAAGCCTTATAATTTCCAACAACATTGTAGGTTGAGTTTTAACTTGTAAACCGAAAAAATAGACAGAGAGAGTTTACCTAACATAAATGAAAAGGAACTGGAAAACCTTTCAAAAACCTTTCTTTAGGTTCGATTTAAATGAAATTATAGGAATCAAATCAAACTCTAGAAACACAATAAAGTTTAAGCCAAGCCTTAGGGAACAAGCAGGAATTACAAATTATCTCAACCAATAGAACACATCAGGAACACACGAAGATTTGATAGGATCCTCGAGTCGGACTCAAATAGACGAAGATGATAAACAAGGGATTGAGCCATTGAAACCAACAAATTCAATCCAAAGAACTCAAGCAGAGAGACTCAAAACGAACTATAGGGAAAGAATGGTATCTTTAGATTTATTACAAGACCTTCAATTCCAAACAACGAACTGAATTCAGAAGAAACCAGTCTGACCGAATCATCAGATCAAGAAGATCGAAATGAATTTTATATCTTCAATGGATCAGAATATCAAACCATATCAAAACTGATTTTAAACCTTTAAAGAAATAGTAGGTTTTGTTTGTTTGTTTGATTGATTTGTTTTTGACAAGATTAAATAGATCTGAATGGTTTTCTTTGTTGACCATTTGATTTTGAAGCGAAGATCAGATTCGGTCACGACTCAGCAGGGACAGTGGAAAGAGAAAAGAAGGAGAACTCAAATTCTTCTTGAATCTAACCTCAATCATTTGTAATAACCTCAGTCTCAACTTCACAAACTCAGATCAAATCACTCAAAACATTGAAACTATCATATCATCAGTCAAGATGGCTTCATCATCAAATTCACATATGCCATCACCACCTCCCAACAATCAATCTCTACCTCTTTCACCACATCTAGCTTCATTCCCTGCTGTCTCATATCAGATTAGTATAATAATTAAACCATTTGACATGATCCATTCTTACTTCGTTTCGTCTTGCTTGTTAATAGGAAACCGTGCCAATGTCTCAAGAACGATTAGATCTTAAATCGAAAAAGTGGATTCAATTTCAAGCTCGAAAGTATCCAGATAAATTTTATTGATACTGGAAAACAAGAGATGCCACCTGACCGTATGTTCCATAAAGGTGATCGCTATTTGCCAACTGGATGATCCTACTGATTTTTTTTGATTGTTTGGTGTCTAGATGTTCGAAAACTTATCAAAGATCATGGTGATCTTTCAGATCAAAAGTCTAGAACTGATAAAAGAGTTTATCCAGGTGCCCTTAAACATGTTCCTTTTGCAGTTATGAAATTGTTACAAAACACGCCTATGCCTTGGGAACAAGTTCGGTCTGTTCAATCTTCCATTGATGTGTCATTCAAATGTCTCGGATTCATCCTCCTCCTAATTCTAATTCTGTCTACTTACAAAATTCAGCGAAGTACCGGTACTATATCATGTCACAGGTGCTATTACTTTTGTCAATGAAGTTCCAAAAGTCATCACACCTGTCTATCATGCTCAATGCGCTTTGATGTGGTTATCGAAAAGACACAAAAAACACCATCAAAGACATTTCAGAAGGATGTGTTTCCCTCCTTTTGGTGACGAAGAACCACCACTCGATCACGGTGATAACATCCTCTTATTCTTTATGAGAGGTATCGGACCTCTTTTGGAAAGATGGCTAGGCTTCATTTGGCTAGACAGTTCAAAGGTAGAAATAGTAAAGGTGTTGCAAAGACTGTGACCAAACAACAGGTCAGTTTCTTTCTATTTGATTTTGACTTTAGAATGAGCTATTTGGATACACACTGTTCTATATGATGATATGTACAGGTCAAAAGGTAAGCTTTATGAAGCGCCTCGGCATCGGTTTGGCAAGTATCGAGCCACAGTACTGATGTATTTGAATCTTTTCCAGTCACTTTGATTTGGGGAACAATCACATTGTGTAGGGTCACACTCTGGTGAAGAAATTATAGATGAAAGAAGGTTCATATCATTAATCAATTGAAACTGATCATTTGTTATGAGAATTTCTAGATAATCATTTCATAGACAATTAGGATCATCAATCAAATCCAGAAGATAATTCTTCAAATTTAAACACTCAAACCAATGGATTTTCCAAAGAAATTTCAAGCCAAAAGCTGTTCAAATTCTTCAAAACCAATTGTTACGCACTCATTATCAACTTCTGCTGAATATTCTGATACTCCTTCTGGTTCTTAATGATGTTTCAGTCAGATTGATTGTTTTTCAAAAAAAATCTCCACATTCTAATCCTATTCAATCTGATATCCTTTCCTAACTCAACAAAACTACAAAACAACCAGCTTACAAAATTGAATTTGATGAAGACTTGATCACTTCACAATGACAATTCAATAGTATCTCATTGAAAGGAAGATGAAAATCATAATAGTTGTACAAGAAAAAGAACAGCCAGTGGGAAATGAGTTTTGAATTGATGTAATATGTTTCTAATGAATAATTTGTGAAATTAGTAGAAGATAAGGTGAAGATGAAAAAGTCAGAAGTTGGAAGAATTGTTTCTAATGAAGATCAGAGGATCTGAGTTGGTTGTCCTAGCTCAAGATTTGATCCATATTTGTGATGATCAATGGGCTTTGTTTAATTTGGATTGTTCTATCATTACTGGTAAGTTCTCAAGCACCATTTCTTATTTGATTCATTGATCTGACAATCTGTTTTGATATGTTTACAGAACCTAACATGTTGACTGAGGAGTGTATATGAGCAGCTGAATTCTTCGAGGTCAAAGATAGTGATTGGCACAACAGAAAAGTTTTTTTTGGTCTTACAGAACTGATATAAAAAGCATTGCCAAAATGTCCTCTTGCAATCTTCATGTCAGCCTCAATGATTCTCTGTTGTTCATGTCTTTTCCTCAAGATCTGATCCGCTTCTTCCTCACCCTTTTCTTGGGGCTCAGCAAGTTGAGCTGCTTCTTCAGCTTTCTTTCCAGCAATTTTCATTTGAGTGGTTGTTTGTGGGATCAATCTCCTCTGATGAGGAAAACTAATAAATATTGCAAGTTGTTGGTTTCAGAAAGATTAGGTGAGATGGGGAATGATGGGATCAGGTTTGAAGAGTTTGGTAAATTAGTGATTGAAGATGTGAATTCACATCAGATATGTGAAGAATTTGTATATATATAG